ACACTGCACAGCACTGTTCTAACAGGTGAACATAAACTATGGAAAAAGACAATAAAAATAGGACATTATTTTAAACAACACCAAAAAACAAAGAAATTACATGTATTTTTTTCTAGAGAAACTACCTAACAATCACCTTTATTTGCAGTGACATTAGTTTTGGGGTCTTATCTTGTCAAGACCGTCATTTTTTGTGCCTTAAGAACTTTGTACAGGTTTAGATTTTCTGTAGTCATATCTTTTTCTGTCTTGTGATAAATGACAACAGGTAGACAGCTTTCTCATTGAGTCAGATGTATGTTATTAATCTATTTATATTCAATAAAGGAAACAAAACATGGTATCAAGCAATAAGGATGACTTAGAGGTGTTTTCACTTATTCATAGGGAATGAAAAATGGCAAAAAGAGACAATTCTTACCTTGCATCATGAACAAAATGAATTTTATCAGCAAAATATGTTATCTAGATGTATTCAATCTGATTAGGTGTTTTGTTGGGATGTACAGACCTGGTTTATTGCAGGTAATTTTGGAAAATTGTATTTAAAAAGACCCCTAATTTCTATTTTTAAACCCTGTTCTTCTGATGCCATTCATCCACGCATCCATAAAATCACAGAAATTTTAATGACAAACAGAATTTTTGACATTAGTGTTCATATAAGTAAGTAATTCAACCTTGAMTTCAGTTCAGAACAAGCTAAAAGACTGAACAACAAATTAGGACTTGGTATGCAAAAGGTTTTAGTTTTTTGGGCTGATAAAGACTTAAAAGGAAGAAAAGAAATAAAGAAAAGAAAATATTGAAGAAATGCCTCAAAGTTGATTAATCAGCTTGCCAAAAATGGCTTAACAACAGCTGCATGTGAGTCAGATTTGCCATAAATTAAACAAGTTTTCCTAAAGTGGTCCACCAGAAAATGGATATAACATGCAATAAAAAAACAATAGTGCAATACTTCAATACTGCTTGCCAGTAAATGAAAAGTAGTTCTTACTCTGAGTGCTCTTGCTCTGCAGAGGCTGAAACAGGAAGCTGCTCGCAGCAGAGGGCTTCAGTGATGGACAGAAGTTCACATTCAGCCAGAGTTGGAAGCAGGAGACGCAGTGTCTCCATAACGACATTATCAGAGACACGACTTTGCTTCACCAGCTGAGACACAAACCCCAGACCCTGAGATGAAGATGAGGAGCGGCCTTCAGTAAAAAAACTCACTTTACAACATTGAAGCCATGCTTCTGTTACTTGGATTGTGTTATGTATATGACTAAAACAAACACTTGAAATAAAAAGAGACCTGGTCACAGTTTGAATAAAGTCTCTTCAGCTCCATTTCATCCTTTAAATGATCCTGGGCTTGATTGTTGGCAGTCATTTCTTGAAATCTGAGAAATGCAATAGTTTTAGTCAAATCATAAGAAAGTCGTCATTACTCGTTTAAAAACTTGGATGAGACGAGTCACCTTTCTAACGTGAGTGTGACGACCTGCTCACGCTTGTGAAGTGCCTCGTGTAAGATGGCTGCCATCCTGCGATCAACCTGCAGCCGAAACACGTCCTCTCCCTCGCTCTTCTCCTCTCCTTCAGAGCAGTCCTGGTGGGTTCTGGTTGATGCGGCTCCAAGCTGAGACGTCTGGCCGTCCAACTCGCTCATCTCTACTTGAAGCTGCTGCTCTGCTTCTTCTAGGCTCTTAGGCAGAAATCAAAATCAAGTTCTAACATAAGCTAACAAATTTCCCTGTTTAATTTAGTGAGGAAGATCATGTCATAAAAAAAATCTGGGTTTAAATTTAATAAAACATTCCAAGGCAGGATGGTAGCCTACCGTGAAGTGCCTGTGTATAATSTGAGACATTTTTTGGATTTCCGGGCTTTTTGTGTCCCCAAGTTGTTGAATTAACAGGCTTTGCAGGGTGACCACGGCTCTGCAAGTCTCCAAAACTTTGATCCATCTCTCAGCTTTCTGGTAGCTGATGGTAGCCATCTGCATGGCCAGGCTGTCTGCTTGAGAATGCAGATAATCTTCTCTCTCCCTCTGCATCTCCTCCTTCACCTGCCAACATTAAAAATAATTACTTTTAATCATTTATTACAAACTAATAATCAAAACCTTTATACTTTTAACAGTAAACATAAACACAAAAATGGAAACTGCTGATCAGCTGGATGCTTTTGTAGGAGTGTTGTTGATTTGTTTGATACACCTTGGAAAGAATACCATAAAAATATGTGTGTGTGTGTGTGTGTGGGGGGGGGGGGGGTGAAAAAAAAGAAAACAGCTCCACCTTATCCATAACACCGCTCTCCATCTCCTTCTCCTTCTCAAACAGTTGAATCTTGTCCTGAAGCCTGTTCTGGAAAAACACCACATCAGATGGGTCTGTTTTCTTTCTGGCCTCGGCGGTTTTCCCCTTGGATTGCATATTGGCCTGAAATAAACCACAAAATCCACAAGAATGGCTGAGAGAGGAGTCTGTGTGCAGGGTTAGGATGTGATTAGGAATGAAGCCACCCTGTGGAGCCTTTTATTATTTCTGAATAATAAAGCAGTCGTCCAGCAGCTGCACACTTGGAGCTAGATAGCAGTGTGGAGGCAACAGTTTTCTACTTCCTGTCAATTTAGGACAGCATCAAAAAGCAGCTTTTTGTTTCATAAGCAGAATTTTAAAAGCACAGAACATTTATTACACTACGTAAAAAATGTCAACACTAAAAGAAAATAGATATAATAAATCCTACGATCTTGTGATATTCTGTCCATATAGTGCTGGTCTGCAGCAACTGTTAAAAGTTTGCTCTCAGTATGGGTTACAGCATGACATTAAATACAATGCAAAAAAGAGCAACATRATGATTGTTAAGAGCAAAGAAGACACTAAATTATCTTTTCCTGACTTCACTCTGTCTGGCAGCATCCTCCAGGTCACGGATGAGGTCAAATATTTGGGACATTTCATCACCGCTGACCTGTCTGATGATAGAGACATTTACAGGCAGCGTTGTACTCAATATGTACAAGCTAATATTCTCCTTCGGAAGTTCTCCATGTGTTCAACACCTGTCAAAATTGCACTTTTTAAAGCATACTGTACTCCAATGTATACAGCCCACCTGTGGCGGCGTTACAAGAAAAGCAGTATGAATAAACTTCAGGTCGCTTATTATGATYGCATGAGGATGCTGCTTAGGGTGCCCCGATGGTGTAGTGCCAGTCAGATGTTTGTGAATGTCAGTGTACCAATCTGTGCTGTTGTGCTTCAAAACATTATGCACAGATGTATGTGTAGATTAACAGACTCTGCAAACAGCATCATTCAGACTTTGACCAACCCTGTTCAAAGCTCAGTGAGATTCTTCTCCAGTTTGTGGAATCATTGGCGCTTTAGTTTATATGTTAATGATTGATTATTTCATTGCATATTTTTTTATTACTTTTTTATTGTTCTTGTTTTGTCTGTTTTTCTTTTTTCTTCTTGATTATTATAGTTTTTTCTCTTTTTTGCCTTTTTTTGCTGACAACTGGGACCTCAGTATCTATCGTTCATTCCTCATTTACTACTCATTTGGAACGACAATAAAAACTCTAAATTTCTTGATTTAATCTCATTATTCTGCACAAAATTTAACTATGATTCCAAGATGTTTAGAGCATTTTTTTAGGTGCTATTTTATATTAAATAGGCCACCAAAACCAACCGTAATCAAGATCCCGCCTCTTCGCCATGACCACTGGGTTTGTGTGTGTCTTCATAGCCAGCCCAGTGACATAGATATAAAAGAAATAAATAACCGCGTTAAGCTTTGGCTGCGTTAATGCTATAGTAACGCGCTAATATGCTAACTCTGTGGTCCTCCACAGTATTCCCCAAAAATCTTTCAGCTTAAAAGATGGTTATTCGTAGCACACAGGTGCCACCACAGTATAATGAAAAAGACCATGGGTATTACAGCAGGTCAGTAAGTCTTTAGGCGAATATAAACCAATTTCTGTAATCACCATCTGATCTTCACGTTCCTTCCTCCATGCTGCCAAGGCGAGACAGAGCTTGGTTCTGGAGATGGCGTGAGGCAGAACGAGACAGCGGTCGATGACAGACAGACACTTCTGAAACTCCAGCTTCATCCTCAGCCTGTCGTCTTCAGACAGAGTCAGCTGGGACGAACACAAACACCTGAAACAGCAAGAAACATGCATTATCAGTGTCAAAACTTTATTTCA